TGCCATTCCCTCAATGTACCAAAAAACTCCATCAATCATCCCTGTTTTAGAAAACTTTGAAAGGTTTGGCAAAACTGTCTCACAGGCTCTCTATTTTATGTATCTGCACAGACAACACTCATAAAAACTGCCAAGCAGAAAAGCATCATGCTAATAGATAGGGACAACTTTTAAAATATTCACCCAACTTTTCTGAACACTTGTTTTCAAGCTTAGCAACTTTAAGGCATGTGGATTTCCCACGCTGGCTGAAAATTCTTGAAGTCCACATATGTTGTATTTGTTTAGGTTGCGAAATACTAGAGGCTCTATCTAGAGACTGCCTTAACAATTTGATTACAATTCCTTCTCACATTAGTAGGCTTTGCAAAATATCCCTTTCATAAATTTTGTATAGCCTACTTCTTTTACTAGAAATGGACTGAAGATAGAATCAAGATCACATGAAATGTTAGTACTGCTTTATAATGCGTTGGTAAGATCCATACTTGGATTCTTGCATCCAGTTTTGATTCTGTGATATGAAAAAGATGTCGAGACTCTAGAACAGTGAAGGCTAATCTTTTCAGCACCGAATGCTCAAAGCGTGCACATCTGAGCGCACCCTCAAAATGCAATGCACTTGCATCCCCTGTGCATGTGCCCTGTCCTGCCATGCGCTCCACCCTCTGTGCAAGCATGGCAGACACCTGAAGACCAGCTGCCTGATGGGAGGTGCACATACATGCATGGCAGAATTGATCTGGGGCGATGGCTCACGTGCCCACAGAGGGGGCTCAGCATGATACTTCTGGCATGTGTTCCATAGGTTCGCCATCATGGCTTTAGAAAGATTGCTGAAAAGAGTAAGAATGTTTGCAGGAATTGGGTATGTCTAGTCTAATGAAAAGAAGGACATGTAGCAGTCTTTCAATATTTGAAGGGGTGTCACAAAGAAGAGAAAGTCAGTTTATTCTCCAAAGCATTTGAAGGCAGGACAAGAAAAATGGTTGCAAACTAATAGAATACAGATCCAACATAGAACTAACGAATTATTTCATGAAGTGAGAATAATTAATCAGTGGAATGTTTTGCCTCTAGAAATTGTGGGTGCTCTATCACTGGAGTTTTTAAAGAGATTAGACAGCCATTTGTCTGAAATGGTATAGATCTGCTGCTTGAGGTGGGGGTTGCACTAGAAGACATTCAAGCCCCATTCCAACTCTGTTATTTATGTTTCATATTTATTATGAAAATAGAACCTAAATGGGTAGGAGCCCACTGAACTCTTCATGTGGAATACTGAAGGATAATTAACATAGGTTAATCCCTATTCAAATCTAAAAAGCAACAAGAGTTATAGGACATAAAACAGCTTTGTTAAACTGTGGTTAAATATAATGCTAAATTAGAATGCCAGTTTGGCCAAGAGTTTAAGGCAACATGATAGAAAATGAGAGTTCAAGTTCTACCTTTGTCATGAAAGTCAGCTGGGTGACTTTGGTGATTCTCTCAGCCCAACTCACTCATAAGATTGTTGTTATGAGGAAAATAGAAGAAGAAAGGTATGTTGGACCAACTTGACTTATAGGCAGGGGTGGGTTTCTACTGGTTGTGTCCACCTCTGTAGAACCGGTAGCTCTGAAGAGCAGCAGACATAGAACCGGTTCTATGTCTGCTGATGTTTTTGCCCACCCGCCCACTCGGGGTCTTACCTGATCTTTATTTCCTGATTTTTCAACTTCAGCTGCCGAACGAGGCACAGCTGCAATTAAAAAAAAGCAGGAAAAGAAGGCTGTTTCAAAGGCTGCTTCTCTGCACGTAGCATGTTGATGACAATTTACAGGCGTGCAGCTCGCAGCGTGCAGGGAAGCACATCATAAATCACCGAACCTCGTAAATCTCGAACCGGTAGCTAACCCTGTTGTATCCCACCCCTGGTTATAGGTAACCCGCAACTTATAATCATTCATTTAGTGACCATTCAAAGTTACAATGGCACTGAAAAAAGTGACATAGAACCAATCCTTGCACTTACAACCAATGTAGCATCTCCACAGTCACATAATCAAAATTTGGGTGCTTGACAACTGGCATGTATTTAAAATGTTGCAGATCCCAGGATCATATGAGTGCTATTTGCAACCTTCCCAGCTGTCTCCTGGCAAGCAAAGTCAATGGAGATACCAGATTCACTTAATGACCACATGATTCACTTAACTTCTGCATAATAATTTGCTTAACAACCACCTCGCTTCACAACAGAAATTCTGGTCTCAACTGTGGTTGTAAATTGAGAACAATCTGTAAAAATAATAGATGGGATACAAATAAATAAAAATTGAACATATTTAAGCCAAGTTTAATCTTTCTGTAACCTAGATCTATAAGCAGAAATGCTTTACCAAGCAGGTTTCTGAAAAACTCTTTCAGATTTTCTAGCAAAAATGCCATATTAATTATCATTTCAAGATCTTTTTGCAATAGTCATTATGCTTAGTTTTGACTGTAAGGGCTAGATGTTATCTGATAGCATTAACACTAGGAATGGATTCAATACACAATCAGTCTCTAAGGACTAATATGACTGATAAATAGCCTAATTTAAGGGTTTTCTTGTTCCTCCCCTTCTCACCTTTTAAGTAGTATTTTCTTGATTCAAGAGCAGCTAAAATGAAAAAAACGGAGTAAAAGGAAAACAAGAAATAAATAATTCCAAGTAATATCTTGGAATGATAATGTAAGAGTGTTGGATTTCAAAGCACATGCAAAGGTTTCTAGAAAGCTAGACAAAGTGAGAAAAAAAATATCTCTGGCTTCCTGACTAAATAAAACCAGGAAGACCCTAAGTAAAGTAACACCAACTCTCAGTGGGAATAAGAGAAAACGAGCTCTTTAGCATAAATATTTATACCACCCTCTTCTTTAAGTATCAGAAATCAGACAATGATTCAGAAGCTAAATTTTTATTTTTTTACATTACCATCACCTTGTCTTCTGTCTTTTCAGAAACAAGCTCTTCAAATTCAGAGTTATTCTCAGTTAAATAAATACAGTATTGTACAAGTTTTTAAGTCTGCACCATTATAGAGATTCAATATACTATATTTTTTATGAATTGTTTTACTTGTAATTAAGTGTATAACTTGAAAGGAATATCTAAACAAACAAGTAGATAAAAAGAAAGCCAAATAAAAATTATTGTAGAATACAGGACTGTGTAGGAAGTTAAAACCCACCCCTCTTCTAGAAAAATAAAATATTCTAGGAAATATTAAAAGGATAGAATATTTCTCCAAAAAGAGAAGTAGAAACTCAGAGAGGCAGAAACTCACCCCCACCTTTGTTAATGGGCCATTAAGGCCTGGGGCAGCCTATTCTACATAACAAAGATCTACCTCCTTCAGGCAGAGCCATTTAATTGCCCTTCATTGCACCACCAAGTTTCAACCAAACTTAGCACACAGATAACCCACAAAGCTAGCTATGACTTCTGACAGCAACCAATCAGGATACTCTTCTTGTGTCCCAGGAAGTTCAAAGCCAGAGAAGGTAAAAAAAAACAAACAGGGTCTCTCAACATTCCTTCCCTTTTCTTTGCCCAAGTGCTCCACAGCATGTGATCTTGTCCACCATAAACCATCTTTCCAAGCAGCCACCATGTTTCCAGTGTCTTTCTTCCCACTTGGAACTGAACCCAGAAGGATATTTCTTCCAACAACTGTAATGGACAACATCAAATTGGGCTACAAGGTGAGAAAACTAGTATTTGGGTGGGATTTTTGACGTGTTGTATTATTAAGCATATTTACATATTTACACGTGGTTTTAATTCTCTGAAGGTCCCAAAGAAACTACTTCAGTATCTTTCTTGGAAGCAGTTCAATGCAAATATTGCCCACAAATTCTATAACTGATTGGAATGCTTAGGAAAATTGCAGATCAGTTAGAAGGAATAGGGGAATGGGGATACATAAAATAGAAACCAGGGCCTTCTCATTAAACAATGTATCAGTATGTCATGTTCATACAACACACAATGTTATGATTTCTTTGGATTCAGCATAGTGTTCAATGATTGTATCATGTTTTACAAATCACAGTAACAGCTGTGCATCTAATACACCTATATGTTGTCTTTCAGTAGCTTTTGATTCTTTGTAACTATAATCCTTTAAAAACATACTCTGAAGAATATTAGCGACTACAGCTGCTTTGAAAACTGTTCTTGGCTATTTCTGCAAGCACATTAATCTTTGCTGTCTGTGAAAGTGTATCTACACATGCACTGATAAGCAGAAACAGCTTCTGAAGACAAGAAGAATTCCTTGCAAAAAAATGGCCCTTAACTGGAGAAGTACTTTATTTGCCCCAATGCATCTTCAAATGTGCCCACATAGACCTAATGGTCCATAGTTCATATACTCAATCTGGTTTTGCAAATTAACTCATCACACCTGAACACCAGGTGTTCAGCTAAACTATTTTAGTTAGTGATGTACTTAATGCTCTATTTTTCCCAGCATTCTAGCCTTCATTTCTTTACAATCATCTGGATGGTATCCATACAGTCAATATAATAACCCTGATAGTTGTGTTTCATTTAATAAACAATAGCTAAATACTTAAGAGTCTGAAAACCCACTCTTGTAACTTTTATCTGTGTACTGCTATGGTTTTACTGACTGTTAATACTATTTGCAATTCTCCTGGGAAGACGTGTATTCTGAAGAGTAGCACACCAAGAAGCCACATCGTACTACATTCAGCACACCACTGCTCCTTCCGAGCCCCTTCCTTTGACTTTTGTTTGTTCCCGTCATAGCAGTTGAGGAAAAACAGCGTCAAAAGGGGAGGGGCCACGAGAGTAGCGAAAGGTGGAGGCCATAAGAAAGATTGGGTTCCTGGCGCATTATCTGCACCTGAGTGGTAAACGCCTTATCCTGAGTATTTTGGTTAGGGAAACCGACCTTCTCGCACAATTTGATTTTCGGGCAGGTGGAGAGCAGTGTATATGCGGGTTTCTTTCTCTTTTCCTTCCCAATTCCCGTGAGGAGAAGGAAGAGGAGGACGCCACTGTTGCTGGTGTGGCCAATTCATTTGCCTGAAAGTCGTGTTTTGCATAACAAGAGAAAGGTGTGCGTCGTGCATGCCCGGGGACAAGCATTGAAGCAGCGGGGGAGGAGGCTTCTCCGGCAAGTAGCATGCATGGCTGGAAGCTCCGTTAAGATGCAACCTGCATGTGACAGGGCCGACTCGCTGCTCCATGACCGTAACGCCACAGACGCCAGAGGCCAGGAGCAGCAAGTGCAGTTGCGGCAGAGGCTGAGGGAACTACCGACGCTCCTCCGGAGTGGACTCACGCTGCGGAGAAAGCGCTCAGACGGCGGAGGCCGGGTGAGTGAACGACGCCGGGGGCCGCGTGCTCCCAAGAATTTTCTCCTCCCTGTTAACAGAGCTTGGCCTCAGCAAGCCGGTGGGTGACTTGGTATCCAAGGGAGAACCCTCGTTTTTATGTGTGCTGTGAGGCATTTTGCACTTTGCTTATTTTTAAAGTTAAAAAAGAGCCCCGACACGCAATTGATACCCTGCTATTTCATGCATAACTACTACGAAAATAAAATAATTGGCATTAGGAATGGACAGTAATGATATCTAGTAAGAGGGACGTATTCCAGCCTTTAAACCGCCATAAGGGAAGTCTGCTTTAATCCACGTGAGATGTGCAAACATGTAATGTGTGTAGCATGTAATGTTTGAGGGGAGGGGACTATTGACCTGAGTTCTGTGAAATTAGGCATCCGCGACAGCAATTGGAATGGAGGCCATGTTGCCGGGAAGATGTGAAGAGATAATGCAGTTCTTTGGGAATAATAGTTCACTCAAGAGCAGCAAGGTTTGCAGCTGTGGGTTATATGCATCACCGAATTCAATGAAATTGTATCCTAAGTAAACATAGATTGTATCCAACAATGTAACATTTTTTTTAAAAAAAAGAATGGCCTTGAAGCTTGGGCTGGGAGAGTTGAAACAGCCTTAGAGTTCAATCAATTTATCAGGGTAACAAGTTTCACCTGGCTATATAGTTTAGCATTTCTAGTCAATTTCTTGATTCAGTGAAATATTTACTGTTAACTATCTACACTAAAATAAGCCACTTGATCTGTGAGGTACATCAGTCAATATATATATTGATATCTTTCACTTATTTACAATTTAACTTTATATATAATTGCTAAGGCTATCCATTGCAAAGGTTAGTCTTCCTAATCAGACCCAGGCCTCACATAGAAGCATGTGAGTTGGCCAGTTTGAAGAAGCTTTAATGCAAATATTAAAGAATATTCATGGATATGGGCAACATACCTAGAATTAGGAATTGTAGCTGGTTGGTACAGTCAGTATCCCTAGTACAGAAGTAGCCTGAAGCTATTAATTACTAGTTTTGTATTTTGCTCCACAATTGTGTATGCCGCATATAGTTAGTCTTAGATTACTACCACATTTGAGCCGAACATTTGTTGCTAAGTGAGATGTTTGTTAAGTGAGTTTTGCCCAATTTCATAACCTTGTTTTGCCACAATTAAGTCAATTACTGCAGTTGTTAAGTGAATTTGGCTTTTCCTTTGACTTTGCTTGTTTAACAGTTGCAAAAGTGGTTACAGGACAGCAGGAGATATTCCAGCCAAGCATCTGAATTTTAATCACATGACCATGGGGATGCTGCAACAGTCATAAGGGTGAAAAATGGTCATAGACTTTTTTTTTTTAGTGCCATAATTTCAAACAGTCACTAAACAAACTGTTGTAAGCATATATTTTTTCTAGATCTGATGTAGTTTTCCTGACATTTCTGGACAAAAATGAGGATGTAGAGTTGAACTTGAGATTTAAAATTGAACTTGGACAATCAAATCTCTGGAGCCACATCTTTTCCTTCTCCCCTAGATGTAGCAAGCATGTGTTGCACTGTGCATTATTAGAAGATTATCCTGTAAGAAAAATGGAGGATATCTCCTAAAATGATGTTTCCTGTCAGCAGTTTGAATAGGCATTTCTAATTAAACTAAGAATTGAAAAAAGTTTCCTATTTAGATTGAGAAATCCTTCAGAAGAGGGTGGTGGAATAGCTGTAATTTTGTAGACCTCTTGTTCAGTGTCATTAACTGAGTACCCATAGTTAATAACAAGCAGTTGTAATTGCACTCAAAAGCCAACCTGGCAACAAGTGCAGTTTATATACCAATAGTAATACCCAGCAGGTACCATTGTTCTTCATGTTGCAGCATTCTGAACTAGTGGTAGCTTCCATGTGATCTTCAAGGGCGCCCTATGTAGATTGTATGGCAATAATTCTGTCTTTAGGTGACCACATATGAAGAGCCTCTCAACTGAGCAAAGGATACTCCAGGAGAACCTAGACAAGGCCCACCTGGCCACAGCTTTCACCTATCTTTCAGCAGTAGCTGCAAGTCCAAAAGGACCCCCAATTATTTATTTATTTATTTATTACAATTATATAGCTGCCCATCTCACAAAAATAAATTCGAGTGGCATTCAACAATGAATTAAAACAATACATAAAAATAGTCATTGTAAAAATTTCACACAAACATTAAAAAAATAGAAATGGTACAGCACAGGAGAAAGTAATTATCAATCACCATGATGGAATTATCATTTCACTGATCCCCTGAGACACCAAGGCCTGGTGACAAAGCCAGGCCTTGAGAGGTATAAACAGCAGGCTTTGGGTTAGCCTCACTTCAGGGAGGGGATAATATTTTACAAGGTAGGCCCGTAGCAAGTTGCCCAACAGTGTTGAATGTGGAAGATGTAGCCTGATCCAAGATCAAGAATGGTAATATCCCTGACCCCTAGAGAACCAAATGGTCATGTTAGGATTGAGCCAGAGTTTTTTTGTCCATTCAAATTTTGTCCATTCATTCTTATTTGACAGTATTTCACTATTTAATGTTCTGTCAAGTTCTCTTACAAGCCTGTATGTTTCTGTATACATAAGAGTTATTTGACTGCACTGTGATATAAGGTAAACATTTTCTTTGAATATTATTTGCTCACATGAATGATATGTGATTGCCCATCCACATGACAAAGAGCTATAAACATAGGGGGTTTGGGGTTAATTTCCGGACATTCCTTTATCCAATAAGCATAGACAGTGGAGAAAGGAACACAGGCGATGGTACAGTTTTCATTATCTCTAAAATGATGCCATACATGAATATATGGAAAGAGTCTTATCAGATTGGTGGGAAAGATTATTTTCTGGTATTCATTATTGCACTACAGTAACGAATATAAGAAAGTACTCCAGAAGGTACATTTTTTCCAGAACAACTTTTTCTTTCAGTGGAAAAAATGTGAGGAAATTTGTGCCTTGATCCTTCCTTCTGAATCTGGATGTAATTGTAAGCTTCTGTTGATTATATTTGGCTTGAAATATTATTAATAAATCTAAAACATACATAGGTAGCCATGATCTAAGCTGTTGCACAGCCATATCTCTTTTCCCTTATTTTTATTTTGTTCTGATCAAAGAACACTCCTGGAAAGAGTTTTAATAGGAATGTATTCTTACTCTTGTAAGAAATTGCCAGGATACTAATTGGGATTCAAGACCTTAATGGAACTAGTAATCTGTAAAAGAATAAATGGGAAATTATTTTGTATAAACGTAAACCACTGTACTGCACGGAGAAAAATTATATTCATGAAAGCTTATGCATAAATTTCAGGAATATAATGAAACTTTGTACAGTAGAACAGTACCATAGAACAGTAGACCTGTCAACATCTTATTTTGAAAAAGATGATTCCTTATTTAGAAGAATCTCTTCTAATATAAAATGAATTTAGACTAGCACTAGTCATTATCAAATTGGCAGGCTGCAGGCTACTAAAAAGATTCTTAGACCATCCAACTTGGATTGGAGGTGACTGATGAGGAAGAGAAGGAACAGCTGGGTCCAGTGCCTGACACGTGAATGTGTAGAAGGCAGAGAAGAGGAGAGCAGTGGAAATGTGTGGGCTGATCCTTGGGAAGGAAGAGCCACCACTGCTAACAAAGTCCCACCCTAGCTGTGCTGTCCCAGCCAGTCTATGGGAATTGGATAGTTACTTAGGAATTACGAGCTATCACCCTTAAGGGAATGGTAAATGTAGTTAGAGGTATCCTGGGAAATGTAGTTCATGTCACATGGCCACATCTATAATCCCAATTGGTCACTAATTTGACCCTCGATGGGTTGGGGGAGTTTTTTCTCACTTTGCCTGAACTCCAAAAGTCCCGGTGCGCAGCCCATTCCTGCATTCCAAGCGCCCAGGCCAAGCTGCAGCTGTCCCTCTCTTGCCAGTGCCATCTCCAACAATAGCAGCAGCAGCGGCGGGAACCATGGAAGCATTTCAGCTGCTTCTCGGGTGGGGGAGCCACCTCTGTAACTTCCATGGTTCCCGCCACTGCTGCCGCTGTTGTTTCAGATGCCTCAACAAAGGCAGTAGCAGCTGTGGCATACCTCAAAGTCTACGGCAGAGAGAACAACGTATATGTCGGATTTGTCATGGGAAGGGCAAAGCTAGCACTGCAAAAAGTTCATACTATACTGCGGGTGGAACTTTGTGGAGCGGTGCTGGCAGCAGAACTATCAGACACAATAACGAAGATGATAGGTCTTCCCTTAGAACCCACCACCTTCTATACAGACAGCAGAGTGGTACTGGGTTATATCTACAATGAGAGTAGATGCTTCTATGTCTATCGTGAGCAACAGAGTTGAGCGGATCAGGAGATCTTCTAAACCAGTTGCAGTGGCGATATGTTCCAATGAATCAGAACCCTGCAGATCATGTGACAAGGTCTATTCCTGCATCACAGTTATCAACTTCTACCTGGCTAAAAGGCCCCGGGTTCTTGCGGTGTACAGACGCCTTGAAGCCAGGCACACCTGATTTGTATGAACTCCTAGATCCAGATAATGATGGTGACATTCAACCCCTAGTCAAGAAGGTTGAACCGGTTGTCTGCCTAGCAACGATGTTCCAACACGAGAAGATAGGTCCCTTAAAACCAGCTTGCTTTAAACAATTCTCCCAATGGAAACTTCTCGTACTGGGAATAACTGCTCGTCCACACAGTCGTCTGTCTCCTTGGTCACCAGAAAGGCTTCAAGTCGTACTTTCCAGACCACTGTACTCATGCTGAGAGATGAATATTGACGAGTGTACAACAAGATGCATATCGATCGGAATACGGCTGCCTGAGTGTGGGGAAGCCCATGCTACAATCTAGTCCACTTCTGAGACTGAACCCCTACCTCGACAACTAGGAGGTACTGTGAGTAGGAGGTCGCCTACACAAAGCAGAAATAGACCCACCA